TGGTGAGTGCATGTGCCTTCTGGAAATAAAGTGAAAGAAAGAAAGAAGGACAGGACGACAGACACATTTTTTTTCTCTCCTGAGAAGCACCTATTGAGGGAGGACATGGGATGAAAAGATTATTGATCTCTGAAATGACAGGGTTATGTCTTCTCAGAAACCCTAGGACTACCATGACACTCAAATTGTTTTGTTTTTAAAAAGAAAGAATTTTAGGGGCCAGCAGTTAGCATAATGGCGATGTCGCTGGACTCCCACGTAGTCGACCGTGGTTCAAGTTCCAGACCCGGTGGCTTAAAACTCATGCTGGGCACATGTGCGTGTGTGCCCAAGATCCCTGGAGGAGAATGGAGGAGAAGAGATTGTGGCGTGGTCATCCCCCTTGGGGGGTGATTTCTCACTTTCTGTTTCTCTGTCTCTCTCTGTCTTTCTGGTGAGCGCACACGCCCTATAGCAAAAACCTCTCAAAAACAAACAAACAAACAAACAAAACAAAAGAATTTTAGAGAATGATTGGGCACTTGAGAATTTAAGTACACCGAGGGGGTCGAGGGGTGGCAGGGCAGTAACACAGCTGGAGCAAGTGGGCAGGATCCTGTCGCGAGGCTTCCTTGAATATGCTGGGTGCGTGTCTGTGATGAGGCTGGCTGAGGCTGGGGGTGGGCCGTATCATGAAGACCCTGTCGGAGGTGCCTCTCTCTCTGCCTTGCTCTCTCTCTCATGAAAGAAATAAATATACTTAGAAAAGAATTTAAGCACATTTCATAACATTTCCTTCTCAAAGGTAGCTTCATTTTGAATCTTTTTGCCCAGAGCAGGTGGAAACAAATTATTTCAGTGGTTTTTCTGGGTGGGCAGAGGGAGCTTTCTTGAACAAACAAAGCAAAACGCACATGGATGGAGGTTCTCTATAAGCAGTCACCCTCTTGGGCCCTCCCTGGCGGTGTGACAGTGACCCCTCTCCAGTGAAGGATGAAAGTAGCAGTGAGGTTGGCTTCTGGGTCCTGCAACACCCAGAAGGACCTTGCTTGGTTTAATTCTCTGCTCTTGCTGGCTTGGAATTCATAACAGTTTCTGAACAAGGAGCCTCATGTTTTCATTGTGTACTTGGCCCCACAAATTCTGTAGCCTGTCCTAAATATCAGCGTTGGTCCCCAAGCTCCATTTGTCACCATGACTAGATGACTCCAGTGACACTGACAGTAGATGAGTGCCTCGTCTCCAGGGGCAGTGAGCGAGAGGCAGGGAGGGTGGCGAGACTCTCACTGTTATCATTCTGGAAACAGCTCAGAGTATTCACAGGCGGCAGAATCATCCTCATACATGATAAAGTGAACTTTTTATGGGCTTAATGAGACCATTGGAGTGTCTGTTCCAATTACCTTTTGGGGGAAGAAGAATGGAACATGCTGGCGTGAATGAATAGCAACTGAGTGTTCATTGAAAAGGTCAAGTATCTTCGGTCTCTCCACTCGGAATGCTTGGCTCCCGGCTGCAGCTCCCGGTGTGGTCATCAGACACTTGTTTCCACATCCTGTGGGGTGCACCCAGCGTTTGAAGGGGCCAGCGCACTGTGCATTTTCTTGGGTTAATGTGTCTTTTATTAAGTTTTCTTTTCAAAGAGCAACAGAGAGGGAAGATTGAGGGACATGAAGAAAAACATTTGCTGGATAAAAGACATTAGAAGATTGTGAATTCAGAGCCTGCCTGGGGAGTGATGTTTTTTAAAACAGTTGTGACAAAAATCTCACACAGATATGCAGTAAATGTCTGGAAACCCACGGCTAGCCTTCATTTGGGATGACCGCTGAAGACGGCAAATATTTGTGGAGAAGTTACAAGACGCCAATAGTGATGCGGGATTCACGGTAGAAGCAGAATTCAAGTGTAGACAAGAATGGCAGACCAGAGCTTCTTGATTAAGTTAATATGTATTGATATTTCTCCTGTTGTTTTGACTTCCTCTGCTGTTTAAATTCAGTCTTGTCAAAACAAAATACAAAAGAGGCTGCTATGACATTGATTTTTATTTTTTTTTAAATCCTGCCTCTGATAGTGAATTTTTTGTTTTGTGTATCTGTGTATATGTTTGTACTCTAGGGTTGACAGTCAGGAAGGCAGAAATGTTAAAATTGTGGCACAAATAATTATGTTAAATTGTTGAGCATAAATTATCAGGGGAAATACATTTTGATTGTAAGCATAAATCAATTTTACGCGTCACAAATTGCCTTCATTTGAGTTTGCTGAGGTGACTTATTTCTGGCACTCATGAGCACAGTGATGATTTGGAAATAAGAGATCTGGTGTCTGAGAACTCCATAAAGACTTGGACTCTTTGGTTCCTGGGGAGGGAGCCTAGGAGTTAGTTGGGGTTTGTGTATGTGAAGAAACGCCCATTCACACTTGGTAATGGGGACAAGTGAGCCTTGACAGGGCCCACGTTCCTCAGCAGGGCTCTAGCCATGTGGACGAGCATCTTCGTTTGGCGGTGTTGCCTGCCGCACCTACAGCGCCTGTTCAGAACCAAATTGAGCTGCATCTTCCAGCCTTTGCTTGCACCATTAAGTACGCCTCATCATAATTTAAAAGCCTTGTTTGGTTTTAGCAGACTGACTATACGCTATTATCTAGCCATCTCTCTGTTACCTAAACAGAAAGAGCCAATAATGATTTATAACCAGGATATCCACAAACCCATCTCTGCATTACATACTTGGAGTGTTTGAGATGGGCTTGGGGGAAAGGGGTATTACGACTAGAATATATTGATAGGTGTGTCTGGGAATTCTCAGTGCCCCAAATAATAGCGGAAACCCTTAGGAAACCCTAGTCAGAGAAGCTGAAAAGTTGCCTTTCCTCCCCAGATTGCAAACCTGGCTCCATCCTTCTCTGTGCTGACAGGCAGCATCATCACGATAGGAAGCAGCATCCGCAGAAACTTGCTTTCCTTCTCTGCCTCCTTTCCTGTGGTTCAACTTTCTCTGGGACAGCGAATGTATGTACCTATTTTGATTTGGAGGATTTCCAGTGGGATTGGAGGGAGAAAAAAGGAAGAGAGACCCAGGTCCTGATTATGAAGGAGTGTCTCCTAGACTCCTGAACTGTGCTGACAAGGACTTGGAAACAACTCCGACTGACAAAGGTGATGCAGCAGGTCTGATCACTGATTGCCATTAGAAGTGCCCGCTCTTCGTGGGTAACGTGCCCTGGTACCCAGCATGGAATAGTGTCGAGAGCACAGACTGAATCTGATTCCGGTTCTTTCTGCCGTGTGACCATTAGGCAAAGTAGATTACCTCTTCCTGCCCCAATTTTCTCACCTTTGAAGTGGAGAAAATAACAGGACTCACCTCAAAGGTCTGATAGGTGAAATGAGATAATATATAGAAAATGTTGAGATGGGAACGTGGTGCCCTAATGAAGCAGCATGCTTCTTAGTTCTTTATCTATATATAGACAATGCAGAATGAAATTGCCTCTCGTATGTGCATTCAGGAAATAGCTATAAAGATAACTTTGCATCTAAATTCACTTCTGCCCTTTAATTGGGAAAGAAAAGTTCCAGTATTCCTTCAGTGAATGGCTTTTAACTGCGTTTATGTCCCCGTCTACAGAGTGGAATTTGCTATGATTTGAAAGCCCTCTCTATAACTCATTGATTTAATTGCCATTGTGATGATATTAAGAGGTGAGACTTTTAAGAGGTGTTTAGGCCATGAAGGATCTACCCTAGTGGATGAATTAGTCCTGTAGTTGTGGGAGTGGACTCCTGGTAAGAGGATGTAGTTTGGCCCCTTTCCTCCCTGTCTCATACACTCTCTTGCCCATCCAGTTTCTGCCATGTGATGACGCAGTGTAAAGACCCTCCCCACAGGCCAGCATCTTAATCTTAGGCTTATAAGCTTCTAGAACTGTAAGAAATCATTTCCTTTATAAATTTACATAGTCTGTGGCATTCTGTTATAGCAAAGCAAATGAACTAAGACAGCATTTTAATCAAATCTCTGGAAATTTTACTGAACTCTTCAAAATGAAGGGGCTTTCTTGAAATGTCTCAAAAGGAGAGGACACCCTGTGAGACTTTGGGCAATAGTCAATGTTGTGAGTTCAAGTTATTCTGTAGTAGTTTGACTTGAAGATTTTTAAAATGCTTAAAAAAAAATACAACCAAAAAATCAAAGGTGAAATGATTGGAAGTCTATATTTGCAGATAATGTGATCATGTGCAAAGGAAAACTAAGTTTTGAAATGTATCCTACCCCCCCAAAAGTTTATGTTGAAATTTGGTTATGATGGGGCTCAAAGGGTAAGAACTTAATCTCAAAATGGTGTTGAAAGTGGGGCCTTTGGGAGGAAATGGGGTTAAGGTCTTCACAGTGGGGTCCCTGTGATTGACTCCTGGTGGGTTTTTAAGGGGAGGGGGTGAGACAGAGACACAGAGACGTGCATTCCTGTCTTCTATGTTGTGCTGTGGCCAAATGCTCCTTGTCAGTGTGGCCCCTGGACATTAGACCTCCAAATAAATGTAAGTGGAAAATTTCTTCTTCTCATAAATCTCCCAGACTCAGGTATTTTCTGTCATTAGTAATATAAAGGACTAGACAAAAACCCAAGAGAACTAAAGCATTTTAACTAAAGGCCAGCGAAACGTTTCCAATATGATATTAATTTAAAAAGATTAAATGCACTTCTGTATACTACAGGTGACCAACTAGAATATTTGTTTCAATCTAAGATGCCACCTATCACAGCCAAAACCAAAAACAAAATATGTAGTAATAAGCAAAAAAATACTGTAGATATTTATGAACAAAATAAAAGTTTATTTTGGATATATGGAAATAATCCAAATATACTTTGAATCATTTCATACTCTGGATAAGATCATTTATTATAATAAGGATGTCAACATACCCAAGTTAATCTATTAAAGTTAATACATTTTTAAAGTACTAGCTGGATATTTTATAAAAAGAATTTAATAAAATCTAAAATTCATATGAAAGGAAATTCATATAAAGAAAAATTCCCCAGTATAGCTAAATCAACTTGGTAAAAGGAGAGCCTTGCTCTTCTGCACAAAGATGTGTTGTAAACTCTTAGTAATTAAAACATGTGGAGGCTCAGCAGGTGGTATGGAGGGTAAGGCACTGGATCCCACATGGCTGATTCCTCAGGTCAAGTCCCAGACCCAGTGGCCTGAAAAACATACAGGTGTATGTGCATGAATGCCCCAAAATCTTAAGAGAGCAGAGGAGAAGGGATTGTAGGAGTGGCCATTCTTCTGGGAGGGTGATTTCTCACTTTCTCTCTCTCTGGTGAGAATATGTGCCCTACAGCAAAAACAAACAAACAAACAAACAAAAAAAAACAAACCACAAACAAACAAACAAAAACTAACTAAAACCATGTGGGTACTAGTGTGAGGATACACAAGTAGACTAGTGGTACAAAATAACATCCTCAGAGACAGACCCAGTTTATTTAATACATTTTATAGGTGGTATTAAAAAAAAGTAATTAGGAAGAGACTGTCTCTTTAATATCTATATTTGGGAAAACTTGCTACTACATGGAGAAAAATAAAACTCAATCCCTAGCTGCAACCATACAAAGATGGACAACTGGTAGTTACAGTCCTAAATCTGAAAGATAAAACTTTAAACGTAATAGAAAGTAATGTTAGGGAAATCTTTGTGACCAAGGGCTGGAGAAAACTTTAAAAACAGCAAAAGTACAAAAAGTACACAAAGACAAAATTTGATTACAGCGAGATTAAAGATATCTGTTCAACAAAAGATATAAATGCAATCAACAATATCAGATTGAGAGATGATATACATGATGATAAACTGACTTAGAGATTAATACCTAGAACCCTTGCAACTCAACAAGAGAAAGACAGGAACTTCAACAGAAAAATGAGATGTGAGTAGCACATTTTTATAGGATGAGGCCAAATAAAACCAACCAAACAATATAAAGAGAGGCCAAAAATTGCTTGAAGTTAAAGCAAATTAAAACGCCCATGTAGTTGGGGATAATCAGGAAGCTGGGTGATATATCAGTGAGGGTGTGGCAATACTGGAACCTTCATGGCAGGATTATAGACTGAAGCTACCATTTTGAAGAGTACTTGCTTAAGTATGTGTATACCTCATTGTCACTGTCAAGCAGCTCTCTCCTGGGTATCTACCCAGAACAGCTCTTCCAGGCCAATACAGGCCCATGTTCAAGGATGTACATCATAGCACTGACCATGGGAGTGGAGAGATGGGGGCAATCTGAATGTAATCAGTGGAGGAATGGATTACTCGCATGATAGAATCACCCAGTCAATTACGACACATTTGGAAGCAATAGAACAGATCTACCTAACACAGCATGGCTAGCTTTTAAAAGCACAGTGTTCAATGTGGAAAGAAACCAAATGAGGTCTATAGCATGATATGATAGGGGCGAAGGAAATCACATATAAACAAATAGTGTGTTTTATAATATATAAAAAAGAGATTATGTGTGTGAGAGTGCTTTTATATATATATTATATACACTTCTAGATATGTATGTATGTATATGTAGGTATGTATGCATGTCATCTATCTCAGAGACATTTAAATGGTTGCCTATAGGAGAGAGGGAAATAGGAGTGAAGAATGACAAATGGGACTGAGCATGAACTAGGGGTGTAGGGTACTCATAAGTAAGACATGATTAACTCAACTCTCTCTGTCTGAGACCAACGTTCACATGTGCACTTGTATGTGTACATGCACGCACACACACACACACAGTTGCAGAGATATAGTCTAAAAGTTGCATGTCATCTATCTCAGAGACATTTAAATGGTTGCCTATAGGAGAGAGGGAAATAGGAGTGAAGAATGACAAATGGGACTGAGCATGAACTAGGGGTGTAGGGTACTCATAAGTAAGACATGATTAACTCAACTCTCTCTGTCTAAGACCAACGTTCACATGTGCACTTGTATGTGTACATGCACGCACACACACACACACACAGTTGCAGAGAAATAGTCTAAAAGTATAAACCATACCATTCCACATCTCCACTAAATTCTCAACAAAGACCACCCAGGGCCAGTGATAACACAAGTGGATCCACATGGGGAAGATCCTGGGTTCACTTCTCGGGACCTCCCTGAACATTTTGGGTGCACTCACATGTGCCATGATCTGGGTGGGCTGAGAATGGGGAGGATGATGACATGAAGATCCTTTTTGGGGTGGGTCAGTCTCTCTCTCTCTTTCTCTCTCAGCGAAGGGAAAAATAAAAACAGACCATCCAGCCAGGCTGCATTACGTACACTCTGTAATGGAATGATTTCTCTGCTTCGTGAGAGGGACTGCTTTCTCCCGTACTGAGGTTGCTGTCACTTTATTTGTGGCAGAGTCACTTTCCCACAAGTGGAATATCAAGGCATTCCTCTCCACCAGAGTCATTTGGGAATTTCATTTAGCTTCATTATGATAAAACTTCACCCAACCTGAGTGCACGATAAGCACCTTTATGGCATTTTCTATATTTGTGCAACTAAGGGAAAGGCAAGTTGCTCTCCAAATGTATGCAGAACTCGGAGATGAAAAATAGTGGGAAAAACAGCTTGCAATTCTCAGATGCTAAATAACAACAGCAAGGATTAAACTGTTTCCAGATTTTCAGAAAATCTTTACCTTCATCAAGGGATAAATCAATTTGCAGGTGCTATTGACAGCTATTTAAACTGGAGCATGGAACATCTTGATTGGAAAAAGCAAATTAAAAGAAGCAGACAATTAACCCTTTACACCTGTTTCATTTACTCTATTTCACAAACTTCTATTATGCTTTCTAGGAATTTAATTATTAGAGGCCATTATTTTTTAATAAAAATTTATCTATTAAAAATACCTAAATTTACAAAGAATAGGACAATACAAACATAAATGGAGTAAATCACTCCCCAGTCTGACTTGAAACTTTCTCGGAACCAG